GCCTACCTAACACAACCAGACGTCTCAGATGTGTCCACTGTCACGACTGCCGACAACACCGAATGCTTCTTCAAGCGCCTCCATCATCAGAAAAAACGTGGAAAGCTAGTTGTGAACACGGAAAAATGTTTGTAAACAGGATGTGACGGAATATTTAGATACATTTTGTTACAGAGGATCGCGTTCACACGGGATTAATATTACCTGAGGTATTTTCTCTGGACCATTTTGCAGAAGGTAAAAGTCATGGTCATTTTTACTGACATTATCTGTAAAGATTACAGACATGGCGTTCGGATGGGACTAAAATCCCTGGTAATAATTACTTTCAATTCTAGTCAATGTGTCTACGGCTGTTCTGCGTTCCGGCTCCGTCTCAGCTCCGGCACTCCAGAGCCCTCCGCAACAGATACGCAGGACTTCTATTTTTGCCGGACGCCGGAGCACAACACAGCAATTCAGCACAGAGCAGATCGTGCAGGGCAGGAAGTCATGCACAGAAACAAAATAAAACGTCCGGTTAATTTTCAAAATAAAATACACAGTGTTCACGGCAGATCATATTTCCTGCACTACACCTTGAAAACGTCATAATGGGCGGAGGCAGGCCTGAAGTCAACAGGTCAGAGGTTTCCAGACATCATTTCACTGCGTTGACACCATGGACGAGGAGATGTTAATCATGGAGGTGCACCCAGATGTCTTCCTACTACTCCTCTGGTTTTGTGGTTCTGTTTATAGAAACTACATCTTGTTGCGTGGATTCACAAGATCTCCTGGATCCTCGTGACTCCCGCTGTCTGGCGCTCCGCACACAGCAAACGCAGCCGGTGGGTGTTGACGGACGGCGGAGCACACAGCGGATAACCAGCACAGCCGTTCTGCAACAGACACGCATCCAGTGGAATTCTGGCGTAATTTTCAAGCCTTGAGTTTGACATTTCAGCCGTAGCCACTGTTTTTTGGTAACCGAAGTGACCATATTTGAGTGAGAGGGTGGATCTGACCCATAGATCAACACTCTGATCTCATGACATATTGACAACTGGTCATAGACTTTCATGTCCACATATGACGTCCAAGGTACCCTGGGTGTGTTGGTTGTTGATGTTCTGGGACGCCGTGTCAACTTCAGCCTGTTACATGCATTGTCTGTTTTCAAAATACAAAATGTGCATTTTGCATACAGTCTCTTTCAAAATAAAAGCACTATGTTGGTACGACACTGCGAATTGGTGTTTTTTTCCTTCAACAACAAACGCACATGGTTCGGTTTAGGAAAAAACAGGGTTTGGCTTTACATTCATACGGGAAGCGAACACCGTCCTCCAGGGTGAAAGTCGGTGGTTGTTGGACTCATCCACCACCCCACTCTCCCACTGTACTGGGACTTTCGCCCCCTTCACTTTCGTTGTGGTCCAGCTACGTTTCCTCCTGGTGCTGCTGAATGACCGGCTACGTATCATGCAAATGTGAAAGGATGTCTTTTTTCATGTCTGATGCCAAAAAGTCGCTGACTAAGTGCTGGTATTCGATGACTTCAGAGTGAGACCGGGTTGCACAGACTGTGGTGAAGCCTTGCAGACAGCCTGTCACAGAGGCAGTCCCGTCCTTTAATACATGTAACTTTGAGCCTTAATAAAATGTATGCTATAGTCGCATATAAGGCACTACAGTGGACTCAAGTACATCATGTCATCCACTGGCCAGGTGTTGTAAGCTCAACACAAATTTCTCAAATACAAAATGGCCGATGGAATTCAGTAGACAAAAATCCCAAGCAGTCAACACATTAACTTTCTCAACTTTGTGCAACAGTTTCCCTCGTCTTGCTCCCCGAGATTATCATGCAACACAAATCGGAAAGCAAGCAGTGTGTGTGAGCGTGTGTGTGTGTCCGTGTGTGAGCCAAAGCTTCTCCCTGAGAGGAAGCAGAAGCTTTCAGTCTCCACAGGTGAGCAGCTGATCCGTGAGTGTGACTTCTTCTGGGAGACAGTGTGTGTGTGTGAGTGTGTGTGTATATGTCGGAAGCGCAACGTTCACATTCTCAGTAGGTGAGCTGTTGATCCGAGTTCTCTGAGTTTCCCTCAACCATCTGTGGCCCACACACACACACACACACACACACATACCCTGCAGGATCATCACATGACTGCAGCTACCTGCTTGTTGACAGGGTACCAAACAACGACTTGTCAGCACTATGGTAAACAAAATGTGCAGTTTGTATTAATGTATGTATGTGTGTTTAATTTGGATGTGTTTTTGTGTGTGTGTGTATATGTGTGCGTGCATGTGCACTGGCTGCTGTCCCATCGTCCAGGCCAGAGAGTCCGGCTCTCACACAGGCTGTCCAGAACGCTGTGGTTTCCTGCCAGAACACTGACGTAGCTATCTAGCTCCCCTCTCCTTTCTCCCCTCTTGTGTCGATGCTGTGGTGTTTAGCGTTACTCCATCTCATGTTAAACTGAAGTAAAGACACAGTATAAATGTAGTAATCTGCAGGGAGCTGCTTTAGTGCGTGGGAACATTTTCTTGGCCCATCTTAGGACCCTGCAGCACCAAGCATCATTCAAACACCTCAGCAAACATGAAGCCTGCTGCTGACCAAGTGTAATCCTGCTCCAGCACACCTTCAGCATCAGTTTAACATGATGAATGTGACTTAAATCAGCATGAATCAACATCAACCTTTACCTATAGTACTGATGAGAACTGGTGATTGCCTAAATTAGAAATGTGTGAACTCATCTGAGGCTTTCATGCTAAATTTGGGGCTATCCTAGCATGCTATTCAAAACTGACGGACATAAAAAGATTTCTGAGAAATTAAGTTGGTAAAAGAAAACTTTTAAATAGGAATTTATTTTATTTGCATTGATACTGATAGTCGTTCAGTTTGAGACGAGGCGGCTGGTGAGCGAGGACATCGGAAAGTCAGAAACAATTGTCTCAGTCAGTAATGAACTCCTTTTTAATGAACAAACAGGAAAGATAAGATGCGATCCAACCTCAGATCGATTCATCGGGGTTAAAGCGAGGGAATGTTTCTGAGGCAGAGAAAGGAGAATGAAACACACACACACACTGCAGGGGAGGGAGGGATGTATGTGAATTATTAAAGCTGCCAATTAGACCAGCTGACATTTAGATCAAAAACACCATGACATTGGCCTTTAGCGAGCGCTTTCTTTCTCTCGTTCTCTCCCTCTCTCACACACACAGTGCACAAACACTTATCCCTGCACCCTCACAAAGGGCACTGAAGGTAGCCGTGCTCCTTAATAACTGAATAAACGGAGATGAAGGGTCAAGGCGAGTGCATAGAGAGCAGCGGGGGACACGGGCTGAACGGTCAGTTACGGTTTAGATTTGACATTTGACATAATTGGTGAGTGGTCTGCTCACCCCTTCATATACGGCAGCTGGTGGTGGGTGAGGAAAGTCCTCACTGAAGATTTTCTTTTGATTCCAGGTAATTTTTTGAATATTTTTGCTCAAGTGTCACGTGAACATGAGCTGTTATATGATACTAACAGTGTCTGTCTGTAAAAACATAAATCGGCAAGGTAAAGTCAAGTGGACATGGCTCCAGATGCCACCTTTTTTCATCTGTACACTAAAGATGAAGTCACCACTAACAGCCGGCTAACTTAGCTTAGCACAGAGACTTTGATTTAAGGCTACATCCATACTGATCTAAACAGATTCTGCGTATGTACACAGAAGATTCTAGTAATAGAGGCATCCCAGTTACCATTTGTTGTCTAGTAGTATTAACCAATCATATGGGAACTGCAGCACGACGAGTTGGCTTTGTCATTAGCTTTTTCAAAAAGAAGAAATTGAATTTTTTAAAACAAAAAGAAATTGGTTCGTACAGATTAGGCAAAACAACTGGGGTACTGAAGAGGAAGTTTTGGCTCGGATATCCGCTGGCATCCACACGTGTACACTGGACCTACGCGTGCTGATGTAAACAGGAAGCAGATGGTCTACTGTGCAGTTGGTTGCTCAGTTGCAGAAAATACAATGGAGGAAGAACGGCAATGGCAAAAAGCAACACCAGAATTTTTTTTGCTTGGACTGACTACAAGGTGGACCAGTTACTGAAAGTGTTTAAGGTGGTCAAGGCAGTGGAAAATGATTGGGACTCTTTGCAAAGCAAATACAGTGGTGTATTAGAGTGGTACGTGGGTGTCGGCATCATCATTTTCAGTCTACGTTTCTGTCCCCCCACACAAAAATGCAGTCCTGGATTTCAATACCAATGCTTGGTCAGTGATATCCAGCATCAGACACGGATGAAAAAAGCCATCCTTTATGCCATGATATGCGGACGGTCACTCAGTGGCTTCAGGGGGGGACAACAAAAGTTAAGCAGGCAAAAGTCAGAGAAGGGTCGGGAGGGGGTGTCTGTGGATGGGTCCAACAACACACTTTTACCCAGGAGGCCAGGTGAAGGTTGGTGTTTGCTTCCTGTAAGCTTAACGTAACCATGTGCGTTTCTCATTAAAGGAAAAAACAATCTGTACGGACGGCTTTAATTTTGAAAGAGACTGTATGCAAACTGTACATTTCCTGTGAAAACAGAAGTGTATTTTGCAGACAGACAATGCATGTAACAGTCCTGAAGTTGACACGCTGTCCCAGAACGTCAACAACCAACACACCCAGGGATCCCTGCACGTCATATCTCGATGTGACAAGTCAGAGTGAGAATGTGTTAACTATAATGGGGTCAGAAGGGTCTTCAAAAGTCTCGTGCTGATGCTCGGCATAAACATGGAAAAAGCTACTCAGGATTATTCAACTATGCTATGTCCCACTGTCATCACCTACATGAGCTGCACCTACCAATTTTTTTGGGTTCAGATCAAAATGAAAAGTCCAAAAGTATGGACACAACAAGGTAGGTGTAAGAGGGCCCTATGTCTTTGCAAGCTGGCGAACAGTCAAACCTTTAAAAACAGGATTTCGTACCTGAACAAGGAACCTACCGTGGCGGTGAGTCGGGGTACAGGCTGTTGACCTGAGACAAAGTCTCTCTGTATGAATCAAAGTCTAAACCAGGAGGAAAGTCTTCTAAGCAGGTAGATCTCAGTTCTCCTACTGAACCTCCGTAAGAAAAACCATCCAGACCTGCAGAGACAGAGACAGGAAGGTAAACACCTGTGTGAATGGAGAGTTTGGGGACATCCAGTTGTATTTTAACAACCAAGGTGATGGATGCAACTGTAATCTCATTATTTCGACAGCTTACAGACATGGCAGCTACGACTATTTAATATTCAGCACCTTGAAATATTTACATTCTGCAGGGACAGTGGAAACCTGCTGAAGATTTAGGAAGCATGTTATGTGCATGAAGGTGTTTAGTGACTTCCAGACCAAATAAAACACACATTTCAGCAGATATTTGAAGCCCCCACATCTTAGCAGTGACATCATGTTCTGATGACGCTAATCTGTGGTTCCTCTGTTGACTTCAGTGTGCTGCTACACAACACCTATGACCTCAGGTGCCTGGCAGCTCCATCACGGTTGGTGAGTTAGTCATAAAGTCAACAGTTGAGACACAGACTGACCGTAGCTCGCTCGGAGGTGTGGGTTTCGGAGCCGACTGTCTTTGCGCAGGCTGCCGACGATGATGGTGATGCAGGAGAGGAAGAGGACCAGGCCTATAACGATCCCCGCCACCACCAGCGGAGACACCAGGAGAGACGCCTCCCCTCCGGACTCCCTCTCACTCCGGCAGTCTGGGTACTCCCCATGGCTCTGGTTGGAGCTCACTGCAGGGAGGTGGAGAGAGATGGACGAGGTCAGTGTGTGTGAACTTGTATGTACAACTTGGAAAATACTTTTGGCACAGTGAGATTACAGATGGGTCACTATAGAGAGATTTTGTTTAACTCAAATTTTCAACAAATGTTAAAGAAAAAATTGACAAAACTGGTCACCTATCATTGAAGAAATATGAAGCTGCATTATTTGCTTTTTTGGCCACTTGCTGCAAGTCTCATATTTGTTCTTCTTTAATGGGAGAGTTCACCCCCAAATTAAAATGACATATTTTTCTTTACATATAGTGCTGTTTATCAATCTAGATAGTTTTGGAGTGAGTTGCTGAGAGTTGACGATATCGGCCGTAGAGGTGTCTACCTCCTCTACAGTATAATGGAACTAGATGGCACTCAACTTGTGGTGCTCAAAGCACCAAAAAGTACATTTGACAAACTCATCACCATGGTCTCTTTCCAGAAATCATGACCCGGTTACTCAAAATAATCCAAAGACCTTGCTGTGAACAGTTTCATGTAGGAAGTATTTTCTTTCTACAAAACTAAACCTGCCAGTCAAATCACCACGCAGAAGGAAACGTGCGTCTAGCACAACTGAGCTAACTAAGCCGAGGAGAGCACTAACATTTACATGTTTCACTGTCACGAGCACCGGTTTCTCATCCATGAGTAGATGACATTTCCCACAAGGCCCTGTTTTAGTCCTGACATATTGGGACATAAGAGGGCACCCTTGCCTCATGGAGCCCAGTGCAACCACCCTGCCTGCACTGTCTATAGTCACGCCCCTGCGTAGGTGGTAACTACATTCACACAGTGAGATGGTCAAAATTAAGCAGTGTATACTGGACTTTACTTCGAATCACTCCGCCAACCTCAACCATAACTAAGATAAGGAGGGGGAGATGAACACTGTCATATTCCCCATCTAAAATAAGAAACAAAGTACAATATATACATCATCAGTGATCTCAATAAACTTAATAATAATAGTAATAATTTGTTAACTATCACATTATATATTGCTTAAATTAATCAATTAATTAATGCCCTGACATTTATAGAGGATATAGAGTGACATTTTTCCCACAAATAAATCAATAAAAATAAAAGATAATTAATAAAAAGAACCATCTGTCTGTATGTGTGTGTGTGTATGTGTGTGTGTGTGTGTGTGTGTGTGTGTGTGTGTGTCTGTCAGGTCTTATGACAGTAGTGCAGCAGGGGGTCGTGTTACATAACTGCAGTCTTGCCCTGCACACATCGTTCTCCCACCGTCTTCTCTCTCCTTCTCTTCCTCTTTCCAACTCTCTCTCCTGGAGGACTTATTCCATTTCAGTGTGTGACAGATAATTAGAGCCAGAGTCAACACACACACACACACACACACACACGCACACACACACATACACTGTCTCTCAGTCATCATCATCATTAGATTACAGAACGATCCTGTTCCTCTCCATTTCTGTTTGTCTGATCTGTCTGTTTACTCTGTCCGTCCATCCTCTGCCTGTTTGCCTGTCCACTTCTTTATCTGTCTCACTGCCTGTCACTCTGGATCTGTCTGTCTTCATTACATCACAGCTGAGAGAGGAGGACGCTCTGATTTGTTGGTTTATTCTTTCTCTGTAACCAAAGCGTTCTGATGCTGTTTCTTCGTGCCCTCTAGATGTGACACATGCCTCATGTGTTCTCATGTATATAAAGAGCACAGACCTGCCTGCTTCAATCTTGGACCTCATGGTATGGGATACTTAAATCTGGTGGTGCATCATTACCACGGCCAAAAATTAATTTTACTATATCGGGCAATTTTCTTAGGTGTGCAATCCAAGGCAGTTAGGCAGAGGAAGTGTTAGCATCAAGGACAACTGCTGCTGTTATATCTTGACCTTAACCGAGTGTTTATTAATGCGATCATGACGACGAAGATCCCCATAACTTTAAGTAGGAATTTCAAACCAAACTATGATGGTTCCCCAACAACAGCCCTGTTACCAAAAGAAACATTTCTGCAAACCACAGACGCGTTACATCACCACACTCTCACACCGACCTTGTCACATATCGACGTTTGGTCATGGACTCTTAACGTCCACATATGACGTCCAAGGTACCCTGGGTGTGTTGGTTGTTGACGTTCTGGGACGCCGTGTCAACTTCAGCCTGTTACATGCATTGTCTGTTTTCTAAATACACTTCTGTTTTCACAGGAAATGTACAGTTTGCATACAGTCTCTTTCAAAATAAAAGCGCTACGTCACACCACATTCACTTTTTTTTTCCTTCAACAACAAATGCATGTGCTTACATTTTGCCAACCCACGCACCGCATTGGGTTTTTGATAAAAGAACAGGGTTTGGCTTGACAATTTTATGGGAAGTGAACACCAGCCTCCCATGTGAAAATTGGTGGTTGTTGGACCCATCCACCAACCCTCTCACCCGCTCAACTCAGACTTCCACCTGCTTAACTGTTGTTGTTGTCCCTCCGTGTTTCCCCCGATGCTACCATGCACTGTTCAACAATAATTGTGACCGGCCGCCTATCATGCTGACGTAACAGGATTGCTTTTTTCATTGTTGTCTGAAGCAGGAATTTCTGAATGAGGTTGGTTACATTTGTTTCATACGTATCATATCAGCATTTCTAAAGTGACGTAGCATATGAGCTGCATTTTGACCAGAAAAGCAAACTTCAGCCCTGCACTATATAAGCAGCCCATTTTCACTCCTCTTTGGCCAGATAGTCAATTATGCTTTTGTTGTCTTGTGTTTAAGTCTGCCCTTTGTTGCCTGGATTAACCTGCTGTTTACCTGCGACTTGTTGGATTATTTTGGCTTCAAATATGTGTAACATTATAAGATATAAGATATGAGCAGTTGCACAGTCCAAGTGATCTTACAGGAGCTTACAGTGTGAACAGAGGTTTACAGTAACACCTGAAAAGTGCCAAGGAGCTACGTTGTTTCCTCATTTGTTCATGTATCATGTATTTACGGCTTGTTTTCCTGAAACGTACAATGCTTTCACTGCACAATAGGGCTGCAACTAATGATTGTTTTCATTGTCGACTAATCTGTTGATTATTTCTTCGAATAGTTGACTAATCATTTGATCAAAAAATGTGTTAAAAATTTGAAAAATGTCTGTCTGTCTCTCCCAAACCCCAAAATTATGTCATCACATGTCTTGTTTCGTACTCACGGCAAAGGGTTTTAGTTCACCGTCATGTGAGAGTGTGTAAAGCTTCCAATATTTGAACTTAAGAAGCTGCAATAAAAGTATTTTGGGGTACTTTTATAGTACTTTTCTATGAAAAATGACTCAAACCAATTAGTTGACTACTAAAATAGTCACCGATTATTTTAATAATCAATTAGTCGACTAATCATTGCAGCCATACTGCAAAATTAATTTACAGCCAGGACTTCAACTAAGGACGAAATCTAAAAAATCTGCAAAACTTTACGTAATGCAATTAAACTACTGAAATGTATGTATGTATCTATTTTGATAGCTTAGGATCGCACATTTACAAATGACACCAACATAACTTAAAGGGTGCAACAAGTGCGGAATAAAACTGCCACTGACGGACCCAAAAAGAGACTGCATCCTTCTGTTGGAAGACATGTTCTCTGCTGTCTCTCTTTTTGTCATATCACTGCTCTGAATATAAATCAGGCGAAACAATCAAATCACTCCCAATATCATTTTCATTTCGGCCTCCTCTCGATTGCTCATTTCTGCTCTCTTTCCCTCCTGAACATCTGCGTCTGTAATTCTGTTGTCTACAGTAATTTGGTTTCACACAGATTCCCGAGAAGAGGAAAATGTTCTCTCACCCCAAACGATTCCCAGCAGACCTCTCTCCTCTCTCTGTAGCGCCTCTTCTCTCACACACGTCTTTGTCTCCTCTCTCTCTCTCTCTCCCTCTGCTAACATGATTTTCTCTTCATTTCACTTCTCATCTCTCCCTCATAAACTCCATTTTCTCTTGTCCTCTCCAGAGAGAGCTCTGAAGGAAATCTATAATTATATAGATTTAATTTCACATAAACCTCGCTCCCTTTGCAACACTAACACACGCTCACACACACAAGCAACAGACAAACTCATAATAATCTTGATAGCTCTGCTCATCATGCTAGTGACTCCAGGGACAGTGTTGTCTGTCTGTCTGTTGGTCCAGACTGGAACCAACTGAGAAATCTTCACAGCTGTTTGATGGGTTACCTCAAAATGTTGATCCCCTGACGATGAATCCTTTCACTTTGATGGTCCTCTGACTTTTCTTCTAGTCCCACCATGAGCTTCACATTTGTTGTTTTTATTGGAATATTTCAACAGCTGTTGCACAGATATCCACGAAAACTGCTACAAGCATTCAGGATACATTGTTATCACTTTGTTAATCCACCTGACTATTAAAGTAGCTCCTTCATCAGGCCAAAATTCTGCCACAGTGTGCACTACTGACCTGCCATACATGCCATTCTCTCAGTTAACTTAAGAAAATCATTTCATTTTCTTAAAGCGAATGGGTCGAACCAGTCTAACTCTGAAGTCATTGATCAGTGACTTCCAGCATCAGACACTGACGATAAAAGCCGTCCTTTCACGTTGGCATGATCCATGTCTGGTTGCTGTCTGAGTGAGGTGGGCCGTAGGGGTGGTGGAGGGGTCAAACAACCACTGACTTTCACCCAGGAGGCTGGTGTTCTCCTTCCGTAAGATTGTAAAAGATTGTCTGAAATACTATTAATTAAATGTCCGACAAATATTAATAAATTGTCTGAAATATTATTGATAAAATGTCTAAAATATTATTCATTAAATGTGCGAAAAATTATTCATAAAATGTCTGACATATAATAATAAAATGTCAAAGAAAATCTTAATAGAATGTCCGGGAATTATTGATAAACTGTCAAAAAAATTCTTAATAAAATGTTTGAAATATTATTCATAAAATGTCTGAACA